AACCCTTTATTCAGATTAAACAATTTACTTCTGCAATAATGGAAAGGGGCAGCCTAAAATAGTAAGAGTAACATTTAAAATCCACCAGCAGTATTTATTAATTGACACTTATTCACAAAGTTTATTTTCTGCATATAATACTGACTGAATTTTAGAGAAAGCTTATAGCAAGGATATTTGTAGGTAATTGGACAAACATTATACAAACATAGGATGACAGCTTTTTTTTTTTTTTGTGCAGTACTGGGGTTTGAACTCAGGGCCTCATGTTTGATAGGCAGGCACTCTACCACTTGAGCCACTCCACCAGCCCTCCCTCCCTTTTAAAGAAAGACCTTTTTAGCATGAGTATAAAGAACTAAGACTAAATACTTAAATCTAGTTTGGGGTTTTAAATTAGAAAGAGTCAAAGCAGCACACGTGAAATTTAAAAGTGGAAACTGTGCAAATATCTTAAGAGATAAAGCAGCTACTCGATACAACTTAAATATTACCAGCCAAATTTGAAGTGTACTTATTAAAAAGTATATTAATTAGTGTCATGGAACGAGGTACAGGAACAAAGCAAGCTGGTTACTGCTCCTAAATCTTTATGGAAGACAACTAATTTTTGCCCTGAACTATGCGAGATTAAGAATATAACAAATATTGAGTTATCTATTAAGTCCACGAGTTGCTGTGGGTAAGACATTAAACCAATGACTCAGGCATGCCTGTTCCTTGTGGATGTAGTAATTAGTATCATACCTTCTAAAACAATAGCCACGACTCACAAGTCAACTGGTCGAGTATAAAGAAAAACGACATGCTTAAAGGATTTACTCCAATCCGGGAGTTTTGCTGTATACTAGCCTATAAATGCTGTCAACTAGTAAACTTTCTGAGCTAGGGTTTTTTGTTTCTTGAGGTGCTGGGGATTGAACCAGGGCCTTGCCCATGCTCCTCAAGCACTCTGCCAACGAGTTACAGCCACAGCCTGATTAGGTTTTGTTCTCCGAGATGGTCTGTTTTTTCTGTCAACTATTAAGACTTATGCTGAGAATCTGCTTTTCTGTTTATGAGTAATCACCGGGGAACATGAACACGGTCATTCGGCAGGCGTCTGCTTTTGGATAGCTTCCCTCATACCTACTTAAGGCGCAATGCAGTTAGTAAGCAGCATCTCTTCAGAAAAGGAAACGCGTACTGGTGCAAAACAATCATTCAAGAAAATTACACCACTATTCCCAGTAGTAGCAAACAAGCTCCTTCCTTCCAAGACCATGTTTCATGTCATTCTACTCTACTTTCTTCCATCTTGGTTATCTGCTACCAACCTATCCTTTCCCACCCCAGCTTTCCTAACCACCATCCCTCTCTTTGGTTTCTTTAATGTTTGGTGGGCTGACTGCTGCCAGTTACTAGAGGACACTAGAGTAGGCTGCTTCTAATCTCTGCTCCTGCAAAGAAAGATCCACAGCACTCCAAATGAGCAAGCAACAGGATCACACCAGTTCCAATCAGTGCTACCAGAAGTCTTGAGAGTATAAGGGAATTACATTTATTCTAGGAAGCAGAGCACACATACAAAGTGGCTTCTCAGAAGGGCAACCTTGTTCAAGATTTGTGATTTGACACTCTCTGGAAAACAAGTTTTACTAAAGTAGGCTGAGGGTATGGCTCAGGTGGGACAGAGCTGCTTGCCTACTAAGTGTAATAATGACCTGGGTTCCATGGGAAAGTTACTATATATATGAAATCCATACACACGTAAGCCCCTAAATAATTAACTAATGTTTGGCCCATATTAATCAGTCCACAAAAAACCTTCAAACACGTGTCCCTATGAATATCAAAGGCCAAACTCCAACTGATGCAGCTCTTAGTTCTGGGAATTGCAGGTTGTTTGGGAACTCATCAGCCTTTCTGGCAATCTGTAATTTCCTTTACTTATAGTCAGGCTTTTAAGTATATTTTAGCAATCAGATACCTCTCTCTGATCAATGAACCAGTATCAGAACACTTTTTTACACTTAACAGAGTTAACACACACATGACTTTGTACATGGATTTCTTCTTGGTAGGAATACTCCGCCCAAGTCTTAGATAAGTATAAATGGTTATCTCGTGTGTGATTTACACACGTAAAGCTGGAAGGGCAACATTACCTCCATACTTGGATAAATAAATACAAACTCCTATGAAGTACCGATTCAGGCACCGGGCTTTCATTTTTAACAACTGAAAAATGCAGTAAGACTTTCATGTAACTGAGCTCTAAAAAGTGCCTATAGGCTTTAAAGCAGGAGTGACAGTTCTGCCTCAAGGTATACATTTACATAATCCTCTCACATGTCAAGTAAAAAATAGAATTCCATTATAATACATGCACATAAGTGTGTAAGCAAAATTTGTATTTATAGCACATACCAGGACACACCACTTTGAATTATCAGAAGTACTGGAATTATTATTAGATAGTTAGCAAACTACAGTAATGAAACTGTAACACGATAGAGTTATAAGCCACCAAGGGATCCTTTCGACCAGGTTTTCAACAGTCAGTGGGGCTGCAGTTGACAGTTCACAGTTACAGCCATTCATAGGAGTTCCTGGAATGCAGCCTCCAGAGTTCACATTGGTCAGTTATCTATGGAAAGCGATCTGTACTGTGTTCCTTTTAGGGTCAGTAATATTTTGTACCTCCTCCAATTAACCGTGAAGGCATCTGTTAAATGTGAAGGTAGTTTCAACGAATTTTGTAACGTTCACTGTTTACAGTGGCTACTCAATTCTTTGTGAGCTCTATTTTCAATGAGTGCACCAGTTTACACAAAACCAATCTGAAGAGTCTCAATAACTAACCAAAGCTCTTCTGATGAAAACAGCTAGGAAAATAAATCAACTTAATGGTAATGGTAACTAATAATGCAAGGTGAGTAGGCAATGATGATTAAGAATTTTTTTCATTCAAAACCAGCAGCGTTTTGAAGGTGTGATAAAGGTAAAATGTAGTAATATAATGCCTAGTTCTTCAAATATAAATTATTTCAAAACTGAGTCAATACAGGCCTTTGTATTAAGTAATGGAACCAAAATCACAAGATAGGATTTCGATGTATCCACCAAAAATCCACCTCAATCTTTTTTTGTTAATCTTCCATTTCCTTTTTCTCAAAATCATAAACTGCTTATTAAAGCCGTTTTTAAAAAAAAAAAAAGCAAACACTTTATTTACAAATATTTCCTTAGCATCTGAATTTGTTGATCTATTCACAAAATTTAAGTCATAATTACTCAAGACCTCTGGCTCCAATTTGTTTCTTTTACATTTTGCGTATTTTAATTTAAGCAGCAAGCCCACATCACATTAAAATGAACGTTTCTAGTTAGTACTGTTTCCTCAAAAGTACTCATCTCGGTAATTTAGACCTATGCCTGGAAAACTGTTGTTGAAGTTCAGGTGTAGAACTTCAGAATGCCCTCTTCTACAAGGGCTTTCCATAAAAAAGTACTCTATCTACTTAATGGATTCATTCCTTCACCAGGTGTGTTGGTCCAGGGATTTTTAAAATGTCAAATGTGTAAGATTACATTTTGGAAGCTAACATGCTGAAAAAGAATAAAAGACTATTAACAAAAATTAGAAATGCTTATCTGATAAGCAATGCAGATTTTCAAAGACTGAGGTGAGGGAAGTAAGTGGCACGTTTAAATGAGACTGCACAGCAAAGCCCTGCTGTGGGTCAACTGCTCAACTGGAAGAACCATGACACGCTAGTTTGTAGTTCAACACTCGTGTGTGAAAGTGAGATTTCTGAGATGACCCACTTTTAATCAGTAAGAGAAGTACAGGCGTCTGAGGTCATACCCTACAGCAGGCATGTCAGCTTCCTTCTGTCAACAGATCTGAGCTTCCTGCCCTGTCACATTAAAGTTCTGATCCGTCTGATCGCATATGCTGTATGAGCAGAGGGGTGAAGAGGAGGGAAACACGTGTTCATTCTGAGTTCATGTGTATGGACAGGAGGGGAGACTGGAACCCAGTCATTTCTAGAAGAGGCAAGTAACACCAACTTTGAAAAAATGGCTTCTGGCAGCCAGAAAAGGAAGGAGCCTGTTGACTATTATTACCAAAGGTGAAAAGTGCATTCCATGTGAGCCCCTGTGTGTGAAAATGGAGCAACTGTAAAAGGAGGGGCTTTCTGAGTGGCCTGTGAGTTAAGTTTCCTTACTGACAGTGCCATCGTGTTCGCTGTGAAATGACTAGCTATCTGGACACGCGGGATTCCCTAAGAGTTCTCAAGCGGAAGAGAGACTCCCAGAAGCCAGTCACCTACAAAAAAGAGGAACTTTGAATTATAAACAGCAGAGAAGGTGAACTTCAGTGAGCATTTTCAACCAACAGAAGTACATGACCAAAAATCCAAGGCTAATGAGAAAAGGATGTGAAGGGACTAAGAGACAGGCAGAGAAAGTCTTCACAGGCCTTTGTTTTGTGTACACCAATTATTCTGGGAACTCAGAGAAGTAGTTATGACCTTTTAATTTACTTAAAAATAACTTCTCAAAAATCCCACGAAGTAAGTGTCCAGGTGTAAAATACCTGCAACTTTCTCTGTAACTTTCACACGCTGTAATGTGGCTGTGTGAGCCTTACATGCGACACTGCCTCAAAGCGACCGAGTCGTCCTTACACCATCAGCAAACGTGAGCGCCGGTCACAGGGCTCCTCTTCCAGGAGGGAAGCCGGGCAAGGCCTTGGCACTTACTGTCCTGACTGCAGGGCACAGGCCGGGCACAGGGACGCTTGTCCCTCCCTCCCTTCCCTGCAGTGGACACCGGTGCAGGTGACACCGTCTTCCAACAGCCTCAACGGGGCCGGGAAGCCCTGGGAAAGGACTTGGGAGCAAGTCCTGGGTGGGGGGGCGGGGGGCGGGCAGCGCTGCGTCACCACGCACCTTCCATTCCTAGCTAGCTAGGGTCTCCCCGGGGCCCGCGGGGGACAGGGCTCTGCGTACCTGTCCTCGTCGCCGTCCACGGGGATGGCGATGCTGAACACGGACGTGGCCAGGCTGCTCACGGCCGGCGCGTCCGCGAGGAGCGTGGGCGGCGGCTGAGGTAGGGGCTCCGACTTCCTCCGGGCGGCGGCGGCGGGGTCGGGGGGCTCGGGGGGCCCCGCGTGCGGGCTGCGGCCGGCGGGCGTCTGGCCGCTGGGCGGCAGCGGCGGCGCCCCGGTGGCCGCGTCGCCGGGCGGGCCGGCCACGTGCTGCGGCGAGTCTCCAGGGCCCGGGGGCTGCGCGGGCGGCAGGTGTCCCGCACTGTCCGTCCCCGAGTCGGGCCCCGGTGGCGCGCCGGGCACCGAGCCCGCGGTGGCGCCCAGGCCACTGTCGCGCTCGGCCACGGGCTCGGGCGCGCCGCTGTGGCGGATGCAGTCCCCGGAGCGGGCCAGCACACTGCTGTCCGCGTCCCGCTCGTAGTACTCCACGCACGTCCAGCGGCCGCGCCGGAACGGCTCCCCGCTGCCGTGGTCCAGCTTGATCACGCGGAAGCGCGAGCTGCAGGCGGCCGCGGCGGTGACGGCCGGGGCCGCGGCCGGCGGCAGGTTCGGGGACACGGCGCCCGGCGTCTCGGCGTCCCCCACGTTGTTGAGCGTCTCCTCGGACGAGCTGCGTTCGCACGCGTCCTCGGGGCCGTAGTCCGTGGCGCGGGACACGTCGAAGATCTCGGACGACAGGTCCTCGGTGCGCGACTCGTCGGGGTCGTCCAGGCTCTCGGTGTCCTCGGTGATGCTCGAGGCCACCTGCGCCGTGGTGACGCTGGTGATCTGGAAGCAGCTCTTCTTCTTGGCCGGCATCTTGGACATGGTGGTCAAGCGGCCAGGCCGCCGGGCAGGGCAGGGCAGGGCAGGGCAGGCGCGGGGCCCGGCGGCCCCCGAGACGCGGTCCGAGTCCGCGGTCACGGGCGGCTGCGGGCGCCGGCCGCCGAGGGACACATGTCCACGTCCGTCGTCGGCCTCCTGCTCCGGTCCGCGCCGCGGGGACGACGGGAGCGCGGCCAGACGCAGGCCGGGCGGGCCGGGGGCGGAGCGGGAGGACGGGTGGGGGTGGGGGAGGGACGGACAGACGGACGGACGGACGGACGAGGGCGCGGGAAGCGAGCGGCGAGGCCGCGGCCTCCTCCCCGCCCGGCTCTAGCCGGAGCGCGGCCGCGGGGCCATGCCGGCCGCGGCGGCGGAAGCCCGGGGAGGCGCGGGCCCCTGTCGGGGAGCCGGCCCGCGACGGCCTCCTCCCTGCTGGCGGCGGCGGCGGCGGCACGGGAAGCGCCCGGCCGGGTGAGCAGGAGGAGGAAGAGGCGGCCCGGCTCCTCGCAAGCCCCGGAGAAACTGAAATTCAAACTGCTGAAGCGGCGGCGGCTGCAGCTCCCTCCCCTCGCCAAGATGGGGCTGAAATGGCCGCGCCGGGGATGCTGGGAGGAGAAGGAGGAGGAGGACGAGGAGGAGGAGGAGGAGGAGGAGAAGGAGCAGCAACAGCAGCAGCCGCCGCAGCAGCGCCGCTACCGCCGCCGCCGCCGCCGCCGCCGCTGACTAAAATGCCGCCGCTGCCGCAGCCGCCGCCGCCAGCGCCGCCGCCGCCGCTCCGTGACGCGCCGGCGTCGTGACGTCAGCGCCCCGCCCCCTCCGGTTTCCTGCGGCCCCGCGTGCCGGCGGGAGGGGGAGGGGAGGGGGAGGGGAGGGGAGGGAGGGAGGGGGGAGGGAGGCGGTGGGCGGGGCCCAGGTTGAGCCGGGGGAGCGGTTTCTTGATTTAAAAATTTTTCAAATTTAAATCTTACGCTGAGGGTTCTGTAAAGAATTGAGGAGCCCAGGACAGTTGAAAAAAAAAAAAAAAAAAGGCCAGCCAGGGAGAAAAGGGCCGCGCCAAGGAAAGGCTTGAGAAGCCTGAAGGTCGTCCTAGGGACCCAGAGAGGGAAGGGGACGCTGGGGGCTTGGCGGGACAAAGGGGACAGAAGTGCTCAGAGTACTAAAAGGAGTGGACAGCGAGGAGGGCGATTAGCCAGAAGGAGTCAGGAACTTCATCTTTGAAGCTAGAAACTCTGACCCCAGCGAAGGCATTGAGGGGTGCTTTCTGGCCAGGGTGAAGTCAGCTTTAAAAGACCAGGAGTTCCTAACAGTCCTAATGTCCTGAGTGGGCGGGGATGGCAGGGGGGACAAGGGGAACGGGAGGGGCGGGGGCACAGGGGGAGGAGGGGACGGGGAGGACAGGGGGGCGGGGGGCGGGGGGACAGGGGGAGGACCTGAGGGGCGGGGAGGGGAGGGGCAGGGAGGAGGGCTCAGTTCACTTCTGAGACTGTTGGTGCTTTCAGCAGGAACCAGCTCTGGGCTCCAGAAATGTGGGACCTGCCGTGTCTAACAGTTGCAGTTCTTCCTTTTGTTTGTTCTCAAACTCCCAGTTGGAGCCAGGTCTGGATGGGGCCTAGCCGCCATGTGGTTGGTCAGAAGCGTCTTTCTGCCTAGTGCAGACAGCGGCCATTTATCATCCTGCAGTGACTTTGCAGCCAGAGAATGGAAAGGCCATGCTCCCAAACACTGCCAGCTCTTCAACTTTGACCTGCCAGAGCTGTCCTCCTTCAGGTGAAGATCCAAGAAGTGTCCCTGAAAGTCAAGACTGTATCTATTGCAGCTTTGCAAATTGCATCACCATGACATAATCTCTGAAGAATAGAAAAACTTTATATTCAGATGTTCTGAGAATTAAAATGTCAGTTCCTTGGTCGTAAGTATTTTACAGAGCTCGGTCTTTTAAACTCAGTGGGAACTATGCCCTTCAAACCCAAGTGACAGAGGTCAGGATAGGAAGTAAGACCACATAATAACATCCCTGTTTACTCCAGGGGATGGGGGAGTGAAGAGACAAAGTGTAACATGTTTTGCTACTGGTGGCAGAGACAGCAGTAAAGCTTCCATTTCTAAATCTGTAATTTCAGAACTTGCTGGAGACACTTTTTCCATCTGTAAATTAGATCAAGTGGTTAAATCCAATGTGAACTTGTAAAAGTTTCTTAATTTTGAGTTGATTTACTAGATTGTTGCAAGTGGTTATCTGTGGGTGGTGCTGACGGTAGGGCTTTTGGAGAAGTAAGGTATGCCTGCTTATCTCAGGATTTATCTTACTACATAAACTTCTCGATTATTTGTCATAATACTCAAGTCACACATTTAAAGAGGAAAAAAGTAATCTGTAAGGCCAGTTCTCCTTTAAGAATATGTAAAGGGTGCTCGCTTCGGCAGCACATATACTAAAATTGGAATGATACAGAGATTAGCATGGCCCCTGTGCAAGGTTGACATGCAAATTCGTGAAGCATTCCATATTTAAAAATATATATATAAAGGATTTATTAGGAAATGAAGGTAAAGATAAACCTACTTTAGTGGAGATCAAGAAGTGAACTTCAGGCAAGTGCTGGTGGCTCACGCCTGTCATCCCAGCTACTCAGGAGACAGAGATGAGGATGATTGTGGTTCGAAGCCAGCCAGGGTAAAAAGTTCTCAAGACTGTATCTCAAAAAAACCCTACCACGAAACAGTGCCGGTGGAATGGCTCAAAGGTGTAGGTCCTGAGTTCAAACCCCAGTACCAAGAGAAAAAAAAAAAAAAACTGTTGGGAAGAAATGATAAGAATTCCCATTGTTGCAAGTAAGTTTGAAATCATTGAACAAAGGACCAAAAAAAAAAAAAAATGGCATAACCATCTCCAAACTACAAAAATATATGTAATTCACACTTGGTCCACAGACAACCAAAAGCCTTGAAATGACTCATGAGAACCATGGAAGAAGGTAGGGTACACATGCAAGAAGCTGGTGGGTGTCTTCGGTGTTGTGAATGACATGGAGACCCAACCCAGAAACGCAGAATCCCTGGAGACCCAAACCTCACCACTGAGGGCCTTAATGCAGCAGTCCTGGCTCCAGACCTGACCGCAGGCCCTAAGTGCAGGCTGTGGGAATCCGTGATTACTGCTCCCTTAGCCCCTGACCTCACCACTTGCCCTGCATCTCATCCTTCCCTTCAAGGCTTCAAGTTGCAGCAGGGAATGGGAAGTTCTTTTAGGCAGAACAATGTGTGTGGGGGGTGGGGGGCACTTAAGAACTAAGAACTATTTTCACTGATGAAAAAACGTGATCTTTTGATCATCTGTAAACACCATACCCCTGAATCTTACCAGGTTATCATCTAGCCATATCAGTGCCAGATGGTGAATTATTTCACAGTCACAAGGTCCCAGAATGTGAGTGAGAGGCAGATACTCAAGAGAAGCTGACATTCCCGCCCTCCAATAACTGAGTACTTTGTTTAAAATAACAATGATAGAGAGCAAATGAAATTCTAGTTTCAGTTAGAATTAAGCAACTGCCCAGGTTAAGAGCAGTCCACTTTGGCATTAATGCTGAGGCCGACTGTGACTTTTGTTGTAATTTGTGTGTTCATTATGTGTGTGGGGAGTTACACAGCCTATATCCCAGTCTTCAAGTTTTTCTAGTTTTTAGAAAACGTTTTCTATGTTTTTTGTCACCAGTTGTTTGAAAAACACAGAAGGAGGAATAGGTTTCAGCTTCTGGAAAGCACTTGCTAGAAGTAAATACATGTTGTCTAGAGATTTATTGCTATGAGTTTTCTGATGTTTCATTTCTGGAAAGATATTATATTAATAAACCCTTTGCAGTGAGACCATATGATGTTATCCAAAAAGAGGGGGAACCCACACAGAATGAAAAAGGACCAAGGCCAATGAATTCCTTAAATATTTTTATGAAAGAAAACATGATTTGATTGAGACCCACAGATCCTTACTTGAAGATGAACCGTGTAAGATTTTCACATTTAAGAAAACTATTAGACAGCTTGAGACTCTTAATATTCCATGAGGCAATGAGGTCTCCCCTCCAGTTTGTTTAATGGTGACAGTTTATTTCCTTGAGTCCCAAAGACCTTTGAAGTTCAGGCAAAACGTCGTACTTTGGTGGAAGAAAACAATGCATTTTGAAGAAACAATAAATATAATGTCCTATTGCAGCCTGTTTTATTTTGTTGTGGAATTTAATTTGTAACCTTAGTATATAAAATATTAGTTCTGCAGCTCTATCATCCAGCTTAAATGCTTCAATGTAGGATGAAAAACATGAGCAGAGAAATCTATCTCTACTTTCTCTTTGTATGTTATATGTATGTAGTCACTGGAAAAAAAATAAAAAGTGCACATTGCCTCCTTGAACCAGGAGCAATCTTTGCTATAACCTGTTTCCTGGTGGCTATAAGTCTACTAATCCCTCAGTTTTCCCATCCCTAAAAAGAAGTAACAGTGTAGCAAAGAGGCATTTCTCCCAAAGCTGAATGTAGACAAGACAGCAGATGCTCCAGTACTTGGGTGTCTTTGGAGAGGACACAATAACTCAGAGTGATGCCTTGGGCAGTGCCATTTTCAATACCATTTGTCAATTTACAAACAAAGCATGATTTTATGAAGAAGTCATATTCAGTCAAGGATGAGCTAGTTATTTTCAGATAGTCAGTGGTATTTCCTTCATAAAGAGAGTCATTGCCATCCACTCTGTTTTGAATATAAGAATTAGGTGTATAGGCAGGTTTGATTATGTGTTGCTTAAAGTGCTGATAATACCTGTAATTTTAAGTTGTAGTTTAGCACTCACAAAAGAGCATATAAAGACATTACTAATTTCTAGACTTCTGGGTTACACTTCCCTCTGCATGTTACTATTACCAGCTTACAAAGTTTTCAGAGAGTATGTTTGACGGTAGAAATTTGTATAAATTGGATTTAGGCCTGAAGGATCATCCAAATGTTCTTAACTGATAGCCTGAAGGTCACTGTAACATGGTTGATGAGATTACTTTTAATTGATAGCAGCCAAAGGCTCAGAGGCACAGATAGCATCTCGACTACCTTGCAGTTGAGTTTTAATTCCA